CCCCCCACCTGGAAGTTTGATTTCGTCTGGTCCATGCCCCACTCCAAAAGTAATATCATCTCCGAGCATAAGTGAACACGACGATCATAACCATCTCCATTTTCATCATTTACACCACCAACAGCAACCGGTTAATATCGCAAACCAGAATGAGGTGACACCATCAGCCAGCCATTTGAAGCGCAGGTGTGTAAAAATCTAATATACGTACATACATATATGTATTAAATTATAATTAAAAAATAATAAGAAGCGTGCTTTAATATCAAACCGAACTAAGAATTAAAAAAAAATAATAATTTTAATTAATTGAAATATTGCTCGACATTGATAGACAGTCCACTAAAATAGAAATAAACATTGAAGACTAAAAAATATAATTTCGCAAAAGAGTATGGGGTGTTTTACTGCATTTTATTTTTAATCTTACTTTTATAAACCATGAAATTGAAGTTAATAAAACTCACCCCAGAATTCCAATGAAATAAGGGTTTGTCTTTATGAGTGTTGAGCAATATCGTAATGAAAATTATTTTTACGGGATCACTACAAAAATACTTTTCGTTTCAAACTACCGAGTAAGGGCTCTGTTTAAGATATATATGTATAAGCCTGAAAAAAGCACTGTCCTCGCTACAAAATTGTATTTTTTAGAATCGGTCATATGCATATAATTTTATTGGATTTTAATGTGTGCAAAAATTATTTTAAATTGTTTCAGCTCCACTCCACAAATGGGGGGGCGGCACTATTATATCGCAACAATCACAGCAACACCATCGTTTTCCGCAGTCTACACAGGCAACACAAAGCGGCATGGTAGCCACTTTAAATAGCGGTGGTTCCCTACGTCAACGAAGTGGTGGGCGTAGTCAACAGCAAGGCCTCCAAAATCATCAGATGGCTGCTCCACCGCCAGCATCTATTTCACATGTATATCCACAGCATAATCTACTTTATGGTGGCCCGCCTACACATATACGTTCTACGGCAAATTCACCTCATGACTATTTCACACACACGCCACCCGATCGTTTTTTAGCACGAGCACATCTCGTAGAAGCCAAAGAAGCACCCAGCACATTATTAAATAATTCTAAATGGGATAATCTATCGCAGGGCGTTTGGAATAAATTTATTAACTCACAGCAAACGGAGGAAACTTTCAAACAGAAGATGCGTCTATGGCGTTACCTTTATATTATTGTTAAGGTAAATATCCCTTGTTTGGCCAAGACACATCATGTGTTCATGAATATAATCTCTAGTGGCCACAATTTAGTTTTGCTATAATGGATGCTAAGTACTTACAAAAGTCAAAAAAACGTAGAAATTTAGGATTCTCTAAATACTAAAGTGAAAACTATTTAAATTTTTGGATGCTAAATTCTATAATTGTTTATATGCTACAAGTGTTGTTAGTTGTTGAAGATTCACTACCAAGCCGCTGTTAAATCGGTTAAAACACAATGGTTGTCGTCAAGCTCAACTAACAATAGACCCATGAAACGTGCTGTTTCGACTGGATTGAACAGAATGAGAGGGTATTAGCTGATTAGGTTTAAGTGGGCAGGGGAAGAGGTGATTGGTGTCATCGGACAAGTCGCAAACCTAGTGCGTTTAGGAAGACGGCCTATATGTATGTATGTATGTTTGTATATGGACATACTAGTATGCATTTACAGGAATTGATATCTTTGGGACTTTTCTGGATTACCTCGGTATTCCTCTTACTTTATTTTTAGGGAACTTTGGGGTTCAAAAGTATATTCTAATTGGTGTTGAACAACTTTACTTTAATAGATTATTCTTTGGTAATTGCAAAAATATAAACAACTTAATACTTTTGCATTAGTATAAAAAGTTTGTAAACATTTTTGAACTTAAGTATTTACTGTACAGACATTTGGCATCACTGTTTACAGGGCACTTACGCGATATGTATTTGCATACCGTCGCTTAAAGTACAAAACCGCGTATCAACAAAATGCAAAACCGCTTATGTGAGGTAGCATAAATTATTTTCTAGAGAGTAAAAACGCTGATATTTCAAAATTATTATCTTTTTTTGTAAAGCAATCGCATTTCTGGCTAGTATATTTCAGGACGAATGAATAAGAGCTTGTATGAGCAAATCCAATTTTTGGCAAAAATGGCAGTTACGCGGTATTGCTGCTAAATGCTACTTTTTTGCATGTTCTCTTATGTATCATATATTAGAACGTATCAGAAAAGTATCATTTAATTTACGGTCTATGCTTATTTTATCTTTCATTTTTTAAATTACCAAAAATTAAGGTCCAGGTTTCTGCCACACTAATTTTTTCGGCAAATTTTTTTTAGTTATATAACTTTTCATGCTAAATAAAATGGCAAACTAAACTGTACGTATTTTTTAACTTACAGAACACTTATCCACGTTTCGGTCTGTATCTGGTCGGATCAACAATTTCAGGTTTTGGTGCTGACACCTCAGATGTTGATATGTGTTTGGTGTCACGAAGTAGTTCCAGTGTGGAACCTCGCATGGAGGCTCTGTTTAACCTTACAGTTCTACGAGATTATTTGAGCAAATCAGGTATGTATTCATTATGGAATAATTCAGCTTGCAATAATATTTAGAATAGTTGATTGTCGTGACTGAGACAAAGGCCGCATTTTGATAGGAGTTAAGGGGTTTAAAGGCACTACAAAAAATTACTACCTACCTAAATTTTACTATATTGCATTTTCTCCTAAAACAATAATTTTGTAATGCAAGTTGCACGGCGCACGGTGCATTTTTTTTGGGGGTGTGAGTGATCAAAAATAGGTAAAAACGTAAACAAATTTTGATCAAATATTTTAAATGTAATAATTCATGAGATATATATGTATATATATTTTTTTTTTGTATGAGAATTGAAGTCGGTTTTTTTTTGCCAAAAATTACTTTTTACCATGGAACGGATTTTTAGGACCTAAAAACCTATAAAAAAGGCAAAATAAAATACCGAAATAGGCTGGAAAAGGCAAAATAAAATAGCGAAAAAGGCAGGAAAAGGCACTAGGTATTGCAAAAAAAAGCCAAATAAGGCACTAAAAAAAAGACAGAAAATACGAGGAGCCGAGGTATACCGTGTATATTTTTAATCTTAAAAAAAAAAAATTTTAAGTGCTATAATCATTTTTTAAAGGTAGAAAAGGCAAAAAAAAAAGGCAAAAAAAAAACAACATCAAGTGTGTATATATGGAACCAGGGAAAGCTAATCATGGACATTCTTAATCGAATATACTCTATCTCTTTAGTAGAAAAAAGGCAATTTCCATAAAATCCGTTCCCTGCATATTACCTTTACCTTAGCTTTTAAATACTAAGCCAGAACTAGCCTAAACACTTATTTATACAGCCGTCTACTATGAGCTATCCCAAATAATTTGCATATATAAACTAGTTGCGGGAAAGTGCGACTTTTTATGTAAAAAGACTTTGAAGTCAAAAAATCTTATAATTTTAGGCAAACCAAGTAAAAAAGTCTAAGGCACTCCGCACATTACGCGCCTAATCATAGTAGAGTAATCGTTTTGTCATGTCAAAATGAATGCATGACGACTCGACGTCTGCACACTTGGGCGCCCTGCGTAAACCCTGCTTGCGCGCACATTACACATTCCTAGTATGTATGTATACATACTTTGGCAACGAAGCTTTACACCAGACCTGGGCAGCGTCCGCCCGGCGGGCGTCGTCGCGTCGTATTCGTGTATACTCACACGTTCTGCTTGGGAAGGCATCGAAACCTTCATTCAACTGCAGGACTTGTTCGCACACACCCAGTGACATCACTTGCACACACTCTACAAAAATGCTCTGCCGAAGCTGCCCATCTCTGCTTTACACCGTACGTTGGCATAGTAGAAGAGCATTTCCCTAGTCAACATGGGTTCCGTGGTTCGAATCTCATCGGACGAAAAATATAGTTTTTTTTTTCCTTTTTTATTTTTATACCCGAGCGCACTTGTGCTCAAGGGTATTATAACTTTGTTCACATAACGGTTTTTTGTAACAGCCAAAACGAATCGAGATAGATATACAGTTTTATTCTGAGTACTCCCGGGGGTTTGTTCTCCGGGAATTTGGTTCTCCCGAGAAAGAAATCCTCCAATAATTAATTCCCCGGGAGTAGCATTTTCTCCGAAAATTTGGGAGGAAGAAATTCGAACTGCGAAATAGCTGTTGACACTTTTTTGACAGCTCAACTTCGCCATTTAAAATAAAAAATCCTGAGGAAATTTTTGTTCATGGTAGGAGGAAAAAAAGAAGAGAGAAAACTTCCAAGGAATTTCTGTTCAGAATCGGCCTGATAGACAAATGTATAAATAAATAATCAGAATGAAAAAAGAAATCGATTAAGCGGTGACTTTCTGTCCGTTCGTCCGTCTGTCTGTCTGAGCACATGATAACTCGAGTAAAAATTGAGATATCTTAACGAAACTTGGTGTGCGTACTTATTTTTAGCGCAGGACGGATGGCATTGAAAATGGGCCAAATCGGACAATAACCACACCTACCTCCCATATAACGGTAGTTTTCAGAAATCTGCGATATTTTAGTAACTGCTGAAGCTTATTCACTCCAAATTGATATTTACAATTATTTTTAGACGAAAAATAAATATATCGATTTTTTAAAAATGGGCGTAGCCGCCGCGCCCACTTATGATTGCATGTGTATATCTTGGTAACCGCTCCACCAATTTCTCCCAACCTTGGCACCATACCAAACGGCTGAAAATATTTTAAATCGGACAATAAGCACGCCCACACATCCCATAGAACGGTAATTTAGAAAAATACGAAATCTTCGGTAAATCAGCAAATGCTGAAGCTAATTTATTCAAAATTAATGTTCGCAATAATTCTTTAGCGGTGCGAGAGAGACAACTGTCAATTTATCGAACCTTGTATTATTGAATCATGTGGGGTGTTCACAGTTCGTTCCAAATTGTGTCTGAAAATGTAGACGTCTACATTTTGAGAAATTTTTAGCATCAAACTGTGAGCACCCCTTTCTAGCAGTCGTCGCAAAATTGTCTCAAAACTTTGCTGGTGTTGCCAGACATTTCTTCCTTGCGTGCATTTTTTATATGTCGCCTTTCGATTATGTTTCTGAAAAATTGTAATTATTTAACTTAATTACCAATTTGTAATATTTGTTATTTCTTTTCCTTGATTTGTTTCTTTTCATCAGAGATTGCGCTCAAATTAAATGCAAATACAGAAAACGTGCCCAATAAATAAAAAAAATGTGATTAGTATTGCCATAATGCAACTCTGCTGCGAGGTTGCAAAATGTTGACGCGTAAAAAACATACCTTTGAGTGTGACAAAATGTAGACGGCGTCGTTTTCCAATTTTGTATGGGAAACAACAACACCACAGATTTTACGGTTAGAAAACGTCTTAAAATGTAGACGTCTACATTTTGAGACACTGTTTGGAACGAACTGTGAACACCCCAATGTATTCTATCATTCTTGGGTTATGAAGTTTTTACACCAAAGGCATGTTAGAGGCATAACCATGACTTAAAACACCGGAAAAGTTACGTGGATTTGTTGTAATATTAAGGAAATTCAAATGCACTAAAAGCAATTTTAAAATAAGGCGGATCATTTTCTGGTACCAACGCCTTTTGCAAATTCAAAAAAAAAAATGCTAAAAAAAACCACAACCCTACTGTTTAGTTTTTCGCTACTGCGCAGCCACTTTTTCAAAACACCATTTCATGTATTCGCGAATTAAAGGCCCTACACACGCATTGATTTATCGGCCAACCAGTAGACCAACCTACTTAACGAAATTCCCTACAAACGCACCAACCAGTTGGCGGATTTCATTTGAATAAGAGTTTTTGAACTGTGAACAACAGAACAGCACCGGTAAACTTTGCTTCTCATTTTTATGTATTTATAACTGCTACCGCCCCCGTTTTCACAAATTATACGCATTTTCACCAGCGAAACGAATCAAAAAACACATGTTAACGTTAATGCGCCTTTAAAAAAATGAAATCGAATTTAGGTTGCCAACTCGTCTACACGCAGAGCAACAAGTTGACCAATCTGTCTCAAAAATCCAAAAATTTTGATTTTGCTCCAACCTGACGAACAACTTGACGAAGGTTTGCGAACTTATATACCACCAACTTCTAGCGGTTGGCCGATAAATCGGTGCGTGTGTAGGGCCTTTTATGCATAAACGGAACCAGTTTTGAATTCATGAAATGAAGAACTCGTAAATTCTTCCGCATAAACGTAGTGTGAGATGTTTGAAAAAGGAATAAAAACCACCCCTGCCTACCATGTAGCGGTATGCTTACCATGTAGCGGCAGTTTTCGGAAAGGTGAAAAAACTATATTTAATTTTTGCACTGGATATTTATTGTTCGGCTCCACCCGAACTTGGACTTTTTTACTTGTTTAAACAAACCTTTTAAATTTCTTGATATATGTACACCGACTTTTTATTTTTTATTCACCTAGAGCATCTAACTATCGAAACCTTAAAGCGAAGCGCACATTAGCGCGATTCACACGTTGCGAATCCGCAGAGCTAAAAATTACAACAATGCCACCCGTATATTTTAATGAGCTAGCGCACACTTGCACGATTTCGTCGCTGCTAATTTTTCGAACATTCAATGAAAGTGAAAAGTGTCATAGCAATAAATGCAAAGGAAAAAACTAAATTGTGTTGCTCAAAAACGAATAGAAAACGAGTGCAAAAATACACGAAAAAAAGGAAAATTAAGTACATCGGAATTCGACGCGAAAAAATCGCACAGGTGTGTACACGTTTGCGGATTCGAAGTTAACAGCCAAATTCGCAGCGATAGAATCGCGCTAATATGCGTTTCGCTTAAGTTATGTCATGCATTGCTACGTATTCGCAACGCAGGCTTGAAACAAGAAAATACCAGATGTTAAGAGACAAACAATGGATTGTGTAGATGATGAGTAACAATCACATCGCTAAAAGCGATAAATGCAAGGGTGTTTTGCAGGTATACATACAAATGTCGAGCAATGGCAATCTTGGCAGACAAATGACGCTGTCTTTCGCGCCAAACTTCAATACGAAAGAATGTATAAAATTTTAAGGGAGTAATTTGCAGTTACCTGAAGGAAGGAAAGTTTGCGCGTTGAAGTTGCATAGATTTTTAGGGATAACATTTGTATGCAGGTAGCAAAATCTCCATATTAACCATGTGCTTATAAAATCGATGGCTTTGCACAGAAGTTCAGTAACTAAATTTCCTTTGGCGTAGCCGGTTGTGCTTGGACGTGTGATGATTAGTCATGCATTAGTTTTAAAAGTTATTTCGAGTTTGTGGAGTGCACATATGTAGCATCGTTTTTTTTCTCAACTGCAATGCTAATGTTATTGTATTAAATGTAGCCGAGTTCGAGAATTTCAACCTAATCGAAGCAAAAGTGCCAATATTGCGCTTCAGGGATCGTATTCATCAGCTGGAAGTGGATTTGAATTTCAATAACTGCGTTGGAATCAAAAACACGCATTTACTCTATTGCTATTCTCAACGTAAGTAAAAAAATTTTCATCACACTTACTATTTAAGATCGTATTGCTATGTAGTACGTGTAGTATTGTAATCTTCTCGTTACTCAAAGGACATTTATTCAATATAATTATGTGAATTTTTGGCAAAGAAACCATACATTTGATTGATTTATAGATAGTCCTTATAAATTCAAAAAAGTGGTAAAATTTCGTGTTTTATAGAAAAGTTTATCAGAGGCCTGAAACATTTTTTTTTAGTTTAAGGGCCGTTTTTTTCAAGCCGCTTTTAAAACTTTGAATGACAGAGAAATTTTAAAAGCTGCTTGAGAAAACAGCCCTAGTATTGCATAAAAAATCAAAAGATTGATGTGCAAAAAAAAACGTGTTTTTCGACATCCGCTGCATATTTTGTCAAATATTCACAAAATTATTTTATATATGTACGTATGTATGTGCATAGAAGCATGGTAAAGTTACATATATACGTACATATGTATGTAGATAGGCCTTTGTGTAATGACCGGTTAGAGCAAGCATGCTCTTCTATGGGGATGTGTGCAGGGATGCCAAAGTTACAAATTAGTGCGATGTCCAAAGAACATGCCGATATCAATACCACATCAAGAATTATGAATACAAGATTGCGTTCTCCCTGCGGCGATGACATTTCTCAAGTAAAATTAAACAAATCCGAATAAGGGGTTAAAAAGCACTGTGTCAAAACAGTACATTTTCTTAATGTTCAATTTTCGAAAGAAAACGTGGTTTAAGTGAGTTAAATTGTAAAAAATATGTGATATATAAAAGGAATTAATAAAGAAACAGTTAAAAAATTGTGATTTTTGTTAGAGAATTGGTGAATTTCAGTGCATTTAAAGTCTCTAAGGCGTTGTTTACTTTTACTTGAAAAATCAGCAGATCCAACGTTGCGGTTTGCGGAATGCACCACCTTTGTTCGCTACATCGTGGCTCTGTTGGTTGAGTTGTACTGGAGTAACCTGGTGTAGGAAAATGCGTTCGATCAGGGTCTTTCTTGCACTAAACGTTTGTCTTTTCCTGCGCTTAAGTTCAGATGTTGTTCTACATTGCACTGTTCGACACTTTTTCTGCACATAATAGATGGTCGTGGCGGCCGTATATACGCTCACTCACTTAGTGTAGCAGCGTACACCTATTTTGTTTTAATATTCCTAATGTTTTGCAAGCTATAATTTCGTTATTTTTTTTTTTTACAAATATATGGTTTATACTATAAATCAAAGTTTCAAACTGTATACAAATATACAAATGTATACGAATTAAGCAAAAAATTAAAAATCAACGTGATTTCTTAGCCACTTAAAATTTGTACATTATTATACTAAAATTGAATGGGCTATAAAACTGCATTCCAGAAGTTCGTTAAATCGGCTCTAACGGCCGTTTGTTCAATGTCCGTTACCACACACTGAAGGTAAAATAATAATATTAAAATAATAGATTGGCGCTTACACAATATGTTAGTGTTTGGCTGAGCTTCTCCTCCGCTTTCACTAGCGATTTGTGTTAACCAGACATTGGGCCGTATGCATAAAACCCAAGCAAATGCTTTTTCTTAAAATTTCAAACCTTTACTCAATTTGTTCAAATAAATTTAAATGAAAGGTATGAAATTTTAAGAAAAAGCAATTGCTTCGTTTTTATGCATACGGCCTATTGAGTATGTTCCGGTACTACTGCATATAGTTAAAAATAGTCATCGCCCTATGCGTTTAATGTAACGCAAATGACTTCTGGATTGATACATGTTCTTTGGTTGGTTTAGTTCAGCTATGCCTCGAAAATGGAAGTGTGCAATGATCTTTACCCCACTTCCCTTTTATAGTTTTTGTCCAGTACTTGGCAACCCTGATTCACATCCACATGTGACTTCCATGTATAAAATTTGTTTTCATGCAGTATGGCAACAATATCTAAAGTTCGTCTCCAACCTTCAAATCTGTGAAGAAAGACGGCGAAATGTGTTTTGCATATCATCCTGCACTAATTGGAAGAAAAAATTTAATTAAAGAAATATTTTTTTTAGTTGATTGGCGATTACGTCCTATGGTATTAGTTACAAAACTGTGGGCACAATATCACAACATTAACAATGCCAAAAATATGACAATATCGAGCTATTCTTTGGTTCTCATGGTAATACACTTTTTGCAGTACGCTGTCAGCCCAGCGGTGCTCCCATGTTTGCATGAGTTGTTCCCTGACAAGTTCACCTTGGTAAGTAAAGAACTGCATACAATTTATATTATACATTTAGTGGAAAATTTCGTACTTTTGTTGCACTTTGAAATCTACATACATATCTGTGTTCGTATGGAAAAGTAGCTTATGTCGAAAGGCTGGCTTTAGTATAAATCGGCATTCGCAGCATACGATTGCGAATTACTCACTGGCGCTGAGCCGTTGAACAACTTTTGGCAAATAAACGTGCAAGAAATAATTCTGATACTAGCAAGTCAATATTCTTATTAAGTCTCTTCAAAAAAGTCCTTGTCGTTTAAAGAATAAAGGGAATGCAGCATTATACTAAAGTCTGCCTTTCGACATAAGCTACTTTTCCATACGAACATAGATATGTTCTCGTTGCAATAATTTTCGCAGCTAAGGCGGCGGTTTCGGTAAAGAGGAATTTACATGAGGCGATTTTGCAGGCAACTTTTAGTTGAATGCAGCACTTGCCTGGCGTAAATGGCCTTTTAACTAATCGATTTCAATGAAGTTGGTCTGCTGTCTACTTTTGCCCGTTGAAAGTTTAATCATGTAAATTCTCCATATACTAGGTATACATATCGTCGATGTTTTGGCAAAACCGCCCATCGACCAATTGCAAACCGCCTATCCTAACGGCACTCAAATTTTACAGGAGGCATTGCCTTGATATGCGGTATATTCTTTAGCTATTATTTTAAAAATCTGTTGTTTTAATACCGAATTTATGATTCTTATGCATAAATCTCGATGCCTGGAGTTCAAGGTTACCAAATCCCATTTTTGTCACAATGGCGATTTAGGCGGTTTTGCAACAGGTCGATGGGCGGTTTTGCAAAATCATCAACGATATATACATATATTTTTTGAGTTCTAAATTCAATGGCAGGGAAACCTCTGCTCAAACGCCAGGTTATTCCTCCAAGTGTGTTATGTTTCGTTATTACATATATTTAAATTGGTTTATATCCATTTACATATATGTAAGCAGCAGTCCGAATTACCACATGGCCAAGACCTCGTGCAACTTCTAATTTTCTTTTATCTTTCATCAATTTACCAGTGTTGTCGCATCTAATTTAATTGGGTGAATTCCCATTGCCAAATATATTGTTGTATTTCGAACTTGCCTGGTTATCAGGTTATGTGGATAAAAATTAATGTTCTGTAGTGTATGTTATTGTTGTAAAGAGAATAAAAAATATAACCACATAACCTCATAATCAACCAGGCAAGTGTGAACAACCACATTTGTATCAAAAAATTGTGTTTCAAATTATTTTAAAGTGCTTTCAATTCAATTTGTATTGTATTTAAATGGCAGGGAACTAAGTCCTCATATCGCCAGGTTATTCCTCCAATTTAATAATTATTTAATTATTAGTCAATTTCCAAAATTAGTTGAAAGTGCTTAAAATATGTTTCATGTCAATTATATGCATTTACTTTGGAACAGTTATGTTAATACATTTATTTTTTATAATTTTTTTTTTATAGTTAATTTGTTCATACTATAGTACCGTTTACATTTAATGAAAGGCCTTCATTTTTAATTTATTTATTTTGCTTTAACAAAAAAAACTCGACAGGTCAGCACGACCATCCATACCCATCGAGGAGCCATTTGCGACTTAAATTCTCTATAAGCGATTTTTATTCACACGACATCACTTCGACAGTGAAATGCCTACATTTGGTATGTTGTGGTTTCGGTGAGCCACTTAACCAATGTACGCAGGATAAAAATCGCTGTTACCGAAACTGCTGCCTAAGTTCTGAAATTTCCTAAATCATAAGTACGTCGTTACACTTTAATAACACTTCGCTTCGTATCTATTTTATTATTATTTCAGCTGCGATCAAATGACTTTGGATACGTGGACATGAACGAGACCATTGGGTCATATGAATCAAAAAATACGCAATCTATCGGTGAACTTTTTCTGTATTTTCTAGAATATTATAGTTGTTTCGAGTAAGTAATATGGTTACTAGTGTTTTTAACATGGATTTTTAATTGTATTCACTATTTTTTTTTATTAGTTACGCTCAGTTTGCAATCTCAATTCGTACTGGTGGTATCCTGCCAATTAATGTATGTCGTCTAGCGAAGTCGTCGAAAAATGATATCCACCAATGGAAGGAGCTCTGTATTGAAGGTAAAAATATTAATTCAAGGATGTCATACGATGTGATTTGCAATGTTTTTTTTTTTTTATCATAGAACCTTTTGATTTAACAAATACAGCGAGGTCGGTGTATGATTTCGAAACTTTTGAACGTGTCAAAGCAGTATTTTTGGCTTCGTGGCGAATGCTGCAACAAACACTTGATCTAAACGCTGTTTTTGCACCAATCATCTTACCAGCACTTCATCATATTGTTTCTCCATTGAGTCACACTGTCCTACAATATGAAGATTCCAATGTTAGCACGGCATCGGAGATTTCAACAAGAGAAAACACTACACATGGTTCAGATCAAAATAGCGGTACAAATCCATCTCCGACTGTTACACTGCTTGCTTTAACAAATGAATCGAATAAGCATGCTTCTAAAGAAATTAACAACAACAACAACAGCGGAAATAGTAACACTGTTGGTGGATCACGGACTGAGCTGGTTTCTTGAGTTTAAAAAAGGTACATCAACCCAATGAACCATTTGATGGATATTCGCATAACGTCCGCTTGTATGTAAGTTTAAATATCGAGAATCATTCCTTAGTTCGTAAAACGTCTAGTCAATCCAAAGTCTTGATTTAATATAAACCCCAATGGGAGTTGATTCAAAAGACTGAATATCTTACAGATTTAAACATAAGTTAGAATTTTGATATTTGTATGCCTTTAGTCTGAATTATCACTCCTAATGTCAACATCAGGCTTTGTTTTTTAAGTGTAAAACGAAAGTAATGCAGTTAACAAATTTACGTACATATATGTGGTATACTGACAAATAATCGGCCTTGTTGCGAATTCAATGCGAACAAATATTCCTAAAAAATGTAAAGCAAAACATAAAACAAACTTTACCACCACTTAAAAAGGTAGAATTTTTTTAATTACAATTTTTTAAATAGTTAATATTTAAAAGTTTCAAACTTTGTACGAAATTTAGAAAAATTATAAAGTTTTCTTCAAAATTTCAAACTTTAATAAATTTTGACGAATATTTCGAATAGGCAGTCGTAATAGCCCATTTAATTTTAGTATAATAGGATGCAGTTTGAAGAAGCTCAAAATTCTCAATGATTTTTGCCAATTTTTTTGTCGACGGTCTTGTGTAATTTTTTTTTTTTCAATGTAATGCATGCCTTTTGTATGAAAAAAAAAAACGTAACATCGTATGAAATAAAAATTGTCAAAAATCAAATTTTCCTCAAAAATTTTGATTAAAAAGTTTGAAAATTTGATAAATTCTTCTAAATTTTGTACAAAATTTTAAATGCAATTACATAGTTTTTATGACTGTTTGAACTATATTAAAAAAATATATATATATAATAATTTTTTATTATTAATTTACAGAATTCTACCTCGTTAAAAAAGGTTTGGTAAGGTTTGCTCGGCCAGAAATGTACATTCGGTCGATATTGCATAAAAAGGAAGCTGAAACTTGGTTTTTTTTTTTCAATTTATGAGTTTTTTTTTTTTTTTTTTTTTTTAAGTATTACCTGAAAAATACGCAAGTTTTTAAGAATCGGTACACAATACGTTTGATACGGGTCAGAAACACGGGCGGAGCTATTGTACTTCGTTGAACAGTATGCTCCATTCACCATATTTGTGTTTTTTAGCATTGGGTCATTTATGTTTCTGCCTTTTCGGCTTCAGCGATCAGTACCTCCCGAGTTGTTCTTTTGGCATTAGATATATATATTTTTTTTTTTTGAGAAAAAACCGAGGGGTTGATGTAAAGCCGCGCCTACTGCTGGCATCACCGCTTAATACGATTTCTGCTCTGGATTGAGGATGAGCGAGAAGAGTAA